AGTAAATTTGGGCTGTATTGGAGGTAAAAGTTTCAAAATTTGAAATATACTAATTCTACTTGACAAACAGTTCAATAATATAGCTATCAATCATTATAGATACACATTATATAGGTCAAACTTATGTTGTAATAGGTTTGACTATTGTTTCTTATGAGGTTGAAGACTAGTTAAATGATTTTTTTCTTTGCTTCGGGAAACAATATTTTCTGAGGAGTTTTGACTTTTTTAATTTGTTTTTATTGGCACTTTGGGCAGGATTTCAAATTCAAAGGATGAGGCTCTTAATAATTGACTCATTTAAGTTCAGCATGACAATTTTTGTAAAAATGGCTAGCAGTTGCACAATTTGAGAAAGTTTGTTTTTTATGCCAAGCATTCTCAGAATGTCCAAAATTCTGACAATGAAATAATTGGAGTGGATTTGGGATGTAAGGTTGTATGTGGCAGTTAAGATATAGTTTTTGGTAGATCAATTACTTAGTACTTCAGGCCTAGGCATTTTGTTCATTTAATATCGGAGCTTTTTTTATGGTTATTCTGCAGGCTGGAAAAACACTTTGTGAACTTAATTTTGATATGACTTTTGTTAGAAATGCATGCTTTTTTACAGAACAATGGAATAAGCTTCGATAAGACAATCGCCATGTTTTAACTTCTTGAAAGTTTTAAAGCCATCACCTATAGGCTGCAAACTTTTTGTATTTTAAGTAGTACCTAGTAGTTAAATAGTGTATCAAAATATACTTAAGAAAATGCTACCAAATTTCAAACTTGGTAAAGTTGATACTGAGAACCGAGTATCTAACTATTGTTTCTTTGAAAACAAATTAATGACAATTCAAAGAACAAAACTAATGACTATTTATATAAATAGCAATGAAGATAATGAATTATAACAATTCTGCAAGAAAATGATGAAATGTGAAATCTCAATTATAGAAAAAAAAAAAGATAAAAGTATGAAGGTAAAGATTATGGGGGAGGTAGTCCTAAGACAGTGATATCCATGCACATCTTTAAGAGATGCACACCCAATGGGGTACCTGAAGATAAAAAATATCTTCTAGTAAAGAAAAGCAACGAAATTTTATCAGTGTTTTTTTCATTAATAAATTTCAATTAATTTTGATCTTTCATATATTTTTAAAATATCTTAACATTTCTAAAGATTAATTTATTTCAAATCAAAATCTAATAATTTTCTTCCAGATTTTTTCAAGTATATTTAAAAATATCTTCTTTTTTATGTAATAATGATTAACAGAGTAAAAGTTTTTTCAAAAGTCATTTTGAAGTTTAACTCGCAACTAGATCTTATTCAGATTTTTTTTTTTTACCTTTGGGAATTAATTTATAAATTGTGAAACCTGAATATTGTTTTTAATGTGTGTTTAAATGTACTTGTATTAGACTCATGATTAATGTATTATTTTCATGTTTTAGAAAATTGAAAAATCTTCAGAGCTAGCATTCAATATAATAAAAGGTGATAGTTCTAGCAAAGAAAATGCACCTGTTAGGCGTTCTAAACGAAAAACACCCAGTACTCGTAAACAACCTGATAAGAAAATATCCTATGAGAATATTGAAAATGTTTCAACGACAGTTCCTAAAGTAGCATCAAAATCTAAAAAGGTGCCATCTAAGAAGAAAATTAAGACAGATCTAAAGAATTCTAAAACGGATTCTTTAATACCTTCCTTACCAGATGTTTTGAACACCTACTGAAAACAGTAAGTTATACCAGCTATAACCTTATATTTTATCGAGTGTAGATAAAATATGTTACATTATAATATTTCATGTTCTGTTAGGCAAAAATAATTTTAAAAAAAATATGAAACTATAATTACAACTACAGAATTGCAAATGCTTATATGAAAAAAAATTGCAAGATGAATTAGCATTCAAGCAATAAAAATAAATTTTTTTTGTTATTTTTTACTGAAAATTCCATTACTATTTTGTTGATTAACAATAAAAATATTTAGTAGCAGTTGTATTGAACATGAAATATTTTAATTATGAAAATTTCTTATTCTGATTTTAAAAAAAATATCAATTCAGTTGATAAATCTCAGTCCAGATAAGAAATATGTTTGGTTGATTTAAAAATCTTCTTTTCTGAGTTTTTTTTAATTTTTATTTTTCCTTTGTCTTAATAAATCTCATGATTTATGTTTATAGTAAATCTATTCCTGTAAATTGCATAAAATCTATTCTATTAAGTCTTTTCTAAATTTAAAAATGATTGATAATATATTTTTATAATATATAGGCAATATTTTTTAGTTAAGTATATTAATTACTTTAAATTTTAATTGGATATTTTATTCTTAAAAATTGAATTGAATTAAATTTTCTTGTTAAACCTAATTGATAGGAATTTGTATGTTTTTGTGTGTATTAGAAAAATCAAATTTCTCTTTTGTATTATCAATAATGTCTCATTGTTTTCTTAGAACAAATAACTGTAATCAATAGCTTTACTTAAATCGCCACTAAACTTATCAACAATTTTATCTTGCCTAAACTCCTACCAACTGTTTGTGACAAAAAAAAAAAGGTAATGCTGTCATAAAAGTAACAGCTGAAGTGTTCAGTTTAAATCTATTAAATTATGGAAATTTAAATAATTATCATTAATGCATAATTGTGTTCTTTCAGAAGAGATGGAAACAACAGTACTTCCATATAGAAGTGTTTCTGAAATTGAAAACATGCTTACTGCAGGTAAAGTAGCAATTATAATATTTTGGAATTTTAATAATTATTTCCAATTTTACATTTTGCTTTTATTAAAAAATATTTCAAATTTTTAAAATAAAATATTGAGTTAATTTAAAAAAACTCGAAGTTATTTTACTAAAAGTGCCAATTTTTAAAGAGATACATTTGAGAGTCAATATAAAATGAATCTTTTATGGGGAGACAGAAATAATTCTAATAGCAGTTTATTTGAAATAGTTCTGACAAATTCAAATACTTTTAATAAAAGTAATTTTATTTGTTAGTAGAACACATGGAAATGTTTATTTTCTATTAGTCACATGAAATATGGTTCTAAAAATATAAGTATTGCTATGTCAAATAAAAAACAGAATAATAAAACTATATCATTTTATTAAATGTGTATAAAAATTGCATTGCCTGATGTATTATTAAAAGTGTTTTTATTTAGTGAATGTAAATAAATTTAATCATTGTATGTTTAAAATTTCTGATTGAAAGATAAAGATTTAAGATGGTGTTTTATTGTATTTTATGAGGTTAAAATATCATGCATGTAGCTTTCTACATTTTAGATATTCCTCCTGAAAGTTATTGGAAAGAATTGGCCGAGCAGAGACGGATAAGCTTGGAACAAACATTAAGAGAAAATGCAGATGTAAGAAAAGTTCATCTTTTTTTTCATTTCTAAAATTAATTTGAAAGTTGTTGTTCAATGCTTTATTTATGTAATCTGTAACATATTATAGTTATTTTGATAATAAATTTAAGGTTTCATTATAAAAATAAGTTTTGAAGCTTGCATTTTATAAAATTAGTGTATTAATTACTGTAATTTTGTATAATTTTAAAAAGATACATCTGATCATAAATTGCTACTTTTTTTTGAGAAGGGAGAATGAAAATTTTACATTTTTCTTCTGTAAAAAATTTCTCTTCAGTAAAATTAATTCCATGTTAAAATCTTGTTTGAAATTAAAAGCATCATTAGACATAGAGAAATCATGAATTATGATATCTACTAATGTAATTAATAAGCTAGTAATGATGCAAGACTTATATTATTTTGCAGATTAGTCTATAATATACTTATTGACAGAAGCATACATGAAAGTGATAAATATTTTGTTTGCAGTATTTTCATTTGGTTACATAGTATAGGTTCTAAGTGCCTAGCATATTTTAAAATTTAATATATCAAACAATTAAGGTAAGAGTGGTGCCTAAATTAAAATATTTTGAATGGTAATGAATTTTATTTAAGTAAATGAATTTAGTTTCGATATTTTCCCCATGGATGGTACTGAAACCTAAGAATCACGATTAAAAGGATCAAAGTCTCAGCAAATAGTCTTATGGGTTAAATTTGGAACTAAAATTTTTTATTTGTTTAAACAAAATAAAAAGAGTATTTTAATACAAACTCAATCATCATACATAAATTATATTAAATTTTTTTACTTTTTTAATTTTGTGATTTGATCTTTATTGACAAATACAAAGACTTCTCAATAAAGATCATAAATTTTTGGTCTTTTACAAAAATACCCTAATTACATTTAACTCGCTTTTTTCCAATCTACAAACACATGTTGGAAGCCCGTATCCTCTTTTGCAAATGATTGAAACTTGTCCCCACAGCTTTTACTATTGTCTATAAGGAAAAATGCTTTCCCCATAGGTGTTTTCTTTTGAATTTGAAAGAAAAAAAATAATCTTGTTCTAAATCAGGCCAGATAGTGGACAGCCAACACGCATGATGTTGATTTTTGAAAGATAGTCAACATCAACATTGGCAACACGAGGGACTTGCATTATCATGTTGTAGAACCATCATATTACAATAGACATGGTCTTAGAAGGTTTTCAATACACTTCTAAAGTATATTTCATTTACAGTTGGTATGTGGTATTATGACTTACCCATACAGCATTCTCTGAATATCGAAAATTATATAACTATAATCTTGTCAATAGTAGCAATTAGTCCTGCCTTCTGTGGTGCTGGTATGAGGTGAAGGATACTTCCATACAGAGTTCTGTTTCTTGGATTCAGGTTCAAAATTGTAGAAGCCAATTTTCAGCATCGTGAAAGAAACATCGCATCATTTATAGCCTTGATTTCAACTCCAGATAAACCTCACATGCACATCTTTTTTTTTTTTGAGGCAGGAGCAATCTCCGGAACACACAAGCATGTGGGCATTTTTTTTATAAGAAGGTTTTTTTTTTTTTTATAAGAGTGACACCCAATGAAATGCACTGCCAACGGCCGTACCATGCTGAATATACCGGTTCTCGTTAGATCACCGAAGTTAAGCATCATTGGGCGGTCAGTACTTGTGTGGGTGACCACCTGGGAACACTGCGTGCCGTTGGCAAATTTGGGGACCTGAATGGCCGAGAGTGTCTGGCGCTCGGTGCCACAGGTTTCGAGGTTCGAATCCCGGCGGTACCATGGATGTTTTTGTAGTGGTTCGGAATCCACTTTAAGCCATAGGTCCCGGTCTTTTATGACTGTAAGAGCGTCACGGAGCAAAAGTCAGGCTTCTACCTACGGGTGCTCCATCACAACAGAAGCTGCTTCCTTCCTTCAATCATGAGTCCATATGGCTCGTGGGCTTGGCCAGCCAAGTGGGATAAGAAACAACAACAACCCAATGAAATGCTTATTCGTTGTAATAGATGTTTCAACATGACTCAATTATTTCCTTTTACTATCGCAGCAGTAGTGGTGGTGGTGTTTACTTCCATTAGAGCAGTCACTGGAGTACATGCTGCTTTTTAAGTTGATTGTGTCTCTGTTGTTGTTGTTGTTGTTGCCCCATCCCCTTTGATTTAGAATCCTAAACCAAGTCCAGTAGATCATGCTGCATCAATAGATCGTAAACTGTCCTCCCTCATTCAACAGTTGCCTCACAGTGGCACCAATACAACTATGAGATGAAGGGAGATGCGATGAATTCGAGAACAACGACAAAAGGGCATATGTCTTCTCGTCTCCATTGAAGGTCAAACTCTTAATGTGGCCAGTCCTTAGTCTAGCTAAAACCGTCTGAGCAGGTCTAGGACAGGAGCACTGTATGGACATACCAGGATATTTAGCGGCGTACCATGCATGAATTGGTGGCGACTTCCAAGAGGTATTCACTCTGGCTAAAGTCATGGAATGAACTCTGAAGCTAACAGATTGGAAGAAGAAGCTTTGGGAAGTTCGCAACCTTCTAGCGAGCAGATCCAGCAATTTCATTTCCGTAGATGCCCACATGGGAGGGAATCCACTGCAAGCACACCGATCCGATCTGGTCCAAAACAGCTAGTTTGGAAAC